CAAGTGCCTTACTAGTAGTAACAAGAAGCTTCTAGGAAACAAGAAGCACTAGTAACAAGAAGCTACAAGAAGCTACTAGTAAGTTCTTATTGTAGCTTTGGAGCGTGGCGCCCAGGGACCACACATCTGTGCCTTGGTGCGAAAGCCGCATGCCTTGTTGCTGCCCTGCTTGAAAGCCCGTACTTCTTCCGTGCTGACCAGCGTTTCCCAGGTGGTTCACTCAATTTGCCAGGCGGTTCACTGGAGGTTTTGGGTGATTCACTTGGTTCACAGGAGAATTCAACTAGTCTGGCTCTCGAACCTCAATCCCGCAAAGAGTGGACTCTGTCCAACGGACGGTCTTTCCTGAGGATGCCATGGAAAACGAATGCTCAATCTTGACAATACTTGGAAAATTACTATTTGTGAAGACTAAGGTTTATCACTCACCAAAAACCACTGTAGGTGAGCCACTGAAGCAATGCCCTGCTGACGCTGCCATCTCTGGCGACATATAGGGCATGGTTCCAAAACGCCCTGGCTGCATCACTCAAAATGTTGTCAGCAACTATTGGTGATTGGCTGGGGCTATGTTTGGTGATTGGGGGAACTGTGCACACAAAAAGTAAATAGCAAAAACGTCAGCCCCGGAGTCTGCGGAGCTGGAGAGTCCAAAACTCATCAAACATGTCTGGGTGCATGCAATGTTTCTTGGGAATGCCTGGCCGCAACGAGCTGTTTCCTCAACCTAGGGGTTGTCGGTGAGGAACCATTGACATGCCGAAGGCGGTGCAGCATGTTGAGATCGGAGATTTAGACAATCCAACAGCAAAGTAGGCTACACCCCAACGGGTTCCAACATGTTCCCCCCCCCCCACCACAAAAAAAAAAAAAAACACCAAGCCTGGCAAATTCTGCGACTTTGAAGCCGCCACAGACAGTCCAAAGTCGCACAACTTCAATGTTCGCCGCTCCTCATCTCCAAAAAGCAAGTTGTCCTTAGCAGCGGGAAACACCAGCAATGCAAAGCCAAGCATCAAAACGCAACACGGAATGCCACATCTTGTACTTCGCGATAATCCTGTTTGTTCAGAAGACTGTGTATCCCACATATTGATATTGTTGCCACAATGTGTGTTACACCTTCTGGATTCCCGAGAGGCGCGAGATTCACCAAGTGTCAGGTTTGATATCGCGATGAATTATGCCCTTCTTGTGGACATGGGCTAGCGCCTTGGCCATATCCTTAGCCCACATGCCCAGGATTTAACGAAACCAATTGATTGCGTCTTGTATCCGCTCCAACTAATTCAAGGCCTGCTGCTCGCGAAACGGCATAACCCTTTGACAGAACTAGTTAGGGGCATTGCGCCCAGAACATCCTCGAAGTCACATGTTTGCACCAGCGCAAGGCCAAGCAGCGGGCCTATGTTGCAAGGTGACATGCATGAAAACCGCTGGGATGATTCCTTCAACCGCGCAGCTGCAAATTTTGTCTGATTCTTTCGATAGTTCCCCTTTCTGCAGTTCTCTGGCTGTTTTCTGCTGCCGGCTGTTTTCAACAATTGGCCCCTCAGCAACCTCCAACTCTCCGACAAACACAAGATCAACACTGTGGATAACCCAAGGTGCCAAAGAACCCATCAATGGCTTTGCCAAATCAAAAAGCCAGAAGAACCCCGCATTAAACGCTAAGAGTCCCTTCTCTTCTCCTCCCGTGTCATGGAATTTAACATGTTGAGGTTACCAGTGCATGTCACATTCCCAAACCTTCACCTCAGCCCAAAGAAAAAAAATGTTTTCAGTTGTGTGGCAAGCAGCCCGCACCAGGCCACCAAAAATGTCATCCTCACACGTCAGAACGTAGTCAGCGGAATCCATTAAACTTGCTCCGCACCGCCTTGGTGTCCAGAGATCACCCCTTCTCGCGACCCGAGAAGCCGCGATGGACAGACAGAACGATTGCTGGCTGATCTGCTGCCAAAATTCTCCATTACAAAGTAGAAGCGTTGAGATGTCAGGTCCGAAAAGGTTTCCAGAAGCGCCACACAATGCTCATGCCCTCGGGAAATTGGTTCGGGTGAAGTGATCGACAACGTGGGTTGGCAACCTTACCGCGACCTTTGTCTTACGAAAAGTTGTCAGTTGTCGAGCAAAAACTTGAGAGAGGAGGGGGTGAACGAAAGGTAGCAGGGAATCAGGCGTAACCCTGGAAACACTGGTGTTAATGGTGTTTACGGTGTTTTGTGGCCACTTTGAAGCGTACATAGCTTGAAACCATCCCAATATAGAGGGTTTTGTGGCAGGAAGGTGCAGAAGCCCGTGTAAGTACCGTCGCTTTGTGCCACTTTGAAGCCTCTAAGCACCGCAAAGCCCTTTCCGCCACAAAAAAACCTGCAAATAGCGTGGTTTGAGGCCACTCTTGAAGATAGGAGGAATTGAAAACACTAAAACACTGGCATTTACGGTGTTTTGTGGCCACTTTGAAGCGTACACAGCCCAAAACCATCGCAATTTACAGGGTTTGGTGCCGGGAAGGCGCACAAACCCGTGTAAATACCGTCGTTTTGTGCCATTTAGAAGCCTCCAAACGCCGAAAAAGCCCTTTCCGACAAAATTTTCCAGGTTTTTTGCAATGCTTCGACCATTTTTGAAGCCTAGACACTTCAAAAACCATCGGTTTTTACGATGTTTTTGGCCGGACAGCCACAGAAAACCCTGTAAATTGCGTGGTTTGAGGCCACTCTTGCAGACTGGACAAGCTGAAAACACTTGTATTTTTCAGTGTTTTGTAGCTGTTGACAAAGCCCCGCGCCAGGGTGGAGTTGAAAGGGGGGGGGGGGGCCCCCCCCCCCGGCCCTTAAAAGTAAAAATGTCGGAGGCGATTTCTCAGTGAGATGGGTGTCCACTCTGGTTATAATTCATTTCTGCTAAAGCAAAAGGAAAACTCAGGTAGCGTAACCGCTACCTTTCGTGATCAGGAAAAATGCGTGGAAGAACTCGATATTTCTGTGTGCATGCCTTGGCTGCTCAAGAACATGCCTTCTCAGGGACAACAAATATTAAATATTATTGTCAACCAGCCAGGCCACGTCCAACACGATGCATGATGTGCTCTTCCTGCCGCGCTTCTTCGACAGTCTTCTCATCTAACGTTCCTGAGGAGACTAGGAAGGTGAAGTAATGTGGGCCTACATGGGTTACTCATTAATTTCCAACAAACTTTCTGATAAAGGTCAGCTGCAACACACAAGGTTTCAGTGAAAAGGTCAGCTGCAGCCGGCAACACAACTACCAAGGCACCATCTTCTGAGCCCAAATGAACCACCTGAGGTCTCCAAATTGCAGCTAGAGCTTGTGAGCCCTTGCACCACAAAAACTGCTGAGCTTCCCAGTTGCGGAAACGACACTTCACCACGTGCGGTGCCACCTACATCCATTTCATGGACACAGCTCACAAAACCCAATCTCCGACAGGACACTTTCACAGCGCAATCCTGGCATGGAAGCGGCTGATGGAACAACATGTTGGGACCCAGCCAAGATCAAGAAGTATCCATTTTGCTAACGCACTGTCACACTGTTTTGGTCTACCAGAGCTTTCAGTGAAGGTCGGGGGGGCCCATCCCGAGTCATGCCAAAGCCACGTCATATCAACAAATTAGAAACACGTGGATGGGATGATGGAGGTGAAGGACGCGTTCACAATCACATGTTTGCCTTTATGAACTAGGACAGTCACACTGGCATCAAAACAGTGTCCGGGACGATTTCCCGCGCCACAAACCGCCAACAAACAACAACAACAAAACCCAAAACAACACTGACCAGCTCGCCTTGCCGTTTCTCAGCGACACCGCTTTGCACACTTTGCCGAAGGTGCCTGTCAGAATCGCAAACGTAAAAAACGTTATGTAATCAACAAACACCTGGTTGCCCTCTGTTCAAAACGGGGCTTTGGCCATAGCTATAGGATCTGGGCAACACAGGGCAACACTGTCCAGAAAGGCTGGGCGAAGTTGAATGGTTTTATTTATATACGTGCAAAACCAGTTGTTGCGCCCCACTCGCAAGAACATTGACAGTACCACTGGTACTACTCATTGTTTGTTTGCCCCATGTCCGAGGCTGCCTTTGCCCAAAGATTCTGAAGTCATCTGGTAGTTCAGCTGGAAAGACCCGGATGCTTCACAATAAGATCTTGCCTCGGGTGCATCATCCAAACGGCGATGGCACTTGTCGAATTCGTTGATACCCGAAACTTCTGCTGCAGAATCTCGAACAAAATTGTTGTGCCCCGCCTTTGTCACCTCATTCTTCATTGAAAAGAACATCCAGGCGCCTAGTTCCAAGCACGCGGAACCAACACCAAAAGCCACAAAACCGAACAAAAGAGCCGTTTAAGAACCAAACCTGGGAGACAGCTTCCAAAAAAACAGTGCCGGTCCAAATTCGGAGGAGCCAAAACGGCTGGCCAAATCTTGCCATAATTATGTCAACAGGTGTTAGGTGTCACGGTCAGGTAGCGTCAACATGCGAATGTTCTGGTGTCTGGATGGGCTGGTTGACCTGATGATCTGTTTTCTGAAAAAATCTGGACGATCAAACAAGGATCCAAAACAAATCTCTCAGAGGACCCTTCCAAAAACAAACGGCCATGCAAGTTTCAACGGCATTTGCAAGAATAATAGCTCGCCCAATGGCCACAAGAAGTGCGGCAATCGGGCGGCAGCCTGGTGGCAGCTGGAGCAGCTGCACTGCACTTCCAAACTGTTGTTTTTTTCACGTTGGACACTGCCTTCTGCACTCGTGAGGCGTTTTCTCATGAACATTTGCTGTGCTGGCCAAGTCCATCATCGTGTGACCCACCAGAGCTGGGTGTTAGGATGTGTTAAGAACGTTTTCTCACTTTTGATTTTGATGGAAACTTTTGCATAGTCACGTCGACCCCATTCATTCCATGACATGATGTAGCCGAACGCCATGTTTGTGTGTGGGTCCGAGGGTTGCAGCCAAATCAGTCTCCAGGAACTCCTTTCCAAAAGGTTCTCAAGAAAAATACCTGCATCCATCAGTTTCCTTGTTCGCCTCGTTTCTTCCATGGAAAATGGCCTCAAAGCCCTCCCCAATCCACATTTTGGAGCATTGAAAGCTCGTTTCTGCTCCGATCGCTCGAGATGTTTCCGGCGCCCCCCATTCGCATCCAATGGCGCAGCAGTATTTGCAGCATCCACGCTCATCTTTGCTCGGTTGTTGCACAAGCAGCAAGCACCAACCTAGCCCTGTCCATCTCACCAGCCAAAAAAAAAAACAAGGAACCATCTTATCAACACACACCTTCCCAACAAAAACCGTGCAGCCACCATGGCACGAATGTTTTTGGGTGAAAACCATCATGTGTTGAGCTCTCCGGCCGCGACTGTTTGTTCAATCAACTTCAGTTTTTCTGACCCCACATCCGCACACACAGAACCAAAGGTTTCCACGAGATTCATCATGGGAATTTTCGGTCGTGGTTCCTTTGTTCCACGATGACCTCCACGCCAAGGTGTCACAGGAAACCTCTCACATCGCAGCGTTCTTGCCAATCTCGTCATTGTCCAGCTTGGGTTGGCCGAACCCATCCCAAGTTTGCATTTGATTTGAGCCAACGGCGTCTCCACAGGTCCTTGTGCATCCACCAACTCCTCAAGGATGAGGCGCCTGTCAATTCATATCCTTGAGGTGGGCCTGGTCTTCCTCAAAACCAGATTTGCCCGTCAGGATGAAGGTCACATCCTAGATTGCCCGCTGCACTTTATCAACTGGAAGTGCTGGAGCCTCCATTTTCATCGCGCCGTTGTCACGTTCTATGACGTTACTCTTCTCGCCTGCGCCTGTTCGTTGCTGTTGCCACTAAAAACTGGCTCCTCCACGGTTGACTTCTGGGCGCTCGCCTGCACCGCGCTATCTTTCCCAGACGCAGGCCAAGCAAAAAGCCAAGCCCAGCACCGCCGCAAGCCACCACCGCAATGAAAAGAAAAACAAGTACGCCAAAGAACTTTGGTGGCAGCACACTCCAGCGGCATTCTGAAGCTCCAAAGCGCGCGGCCACACATGTGGCAAAGGCAACCGGCAGCAGCGCTCGAGCTCCAAAACGCACACGGCCACACATCTGGCAGCGGCACCCAGTAGCGGCAGCAGCAAGCAAAGCGCACATGGCCACGCGTCTGGCAGCGGCACCCTGCAGCGGCAGCAGCACCCAATCTCCAAAGCGTCACACGGCCACATCTGGCACCGGCACCGCGCCCACGCTTTGGACATATGGCCACACCTCAGCAGGCCAGGCCACGTACACGCCATGTCTGCTAGTGCGCAAGCGGGAAAGTCATGTTGCTGCCCTGCCGTGGTGGAGGCAAAGGCATGCTCACAGGCACCGCCGTTGTCATTGGTCAGAGTCACAAACCGTCTCCGGCCAGGCTGACCGTTGGCCAAAACCAACTCTCAAAAACTCACCTGCCGTAAACAGGGCATGCGCGAGAGGATGCCGTGGCGGCTTGAACCGTGTGAAATAGCACGCGAGCCAAAACACTGTTTGGCAGTCCTGAAAAAATCGCAAAACACTGTTTGGCAGTCCTGAAAAAATCGCGGCCTAAAATTCTAGTCCAGACAGTCAAGACTTTGAGCGGTCAGGGCGGCAAGCATGAAAAGGAAGCGGCGGTCAAAGGAAAAGACCGGCTGCCAGCATGAAAAGGAAGCGGCGGTCAAAGGAAAAGACCTTCTTTTATGGGAAGCGGCGGTCAAAGGAAAAGACCTTCGTTTGGGAGGCCCATGGGGTCCCCTAATTAAGTATTATAGCGCCCCGGGTTGCGGCGGCCTCCGTGGCCTCCAACAGCGTGGAGAGGGTGGAAGGATGGGGCCTCCGTCGCGGGAGAGCGACATGGAGAGAGAGGCTGGAAGGATGTGCCTCCGTGACACGAGTGTCAAGCCAAAGAAGCCATATTTTGCGGCTTCG